GACCGGTTTTCCTTAACCGGTTATACGACAGCTTGACCGGTTATAGTGTTTTCGGTCGGGACCGGGACCGGGACCGGGACCGGTTATGGAGGGACCGGTTAACGCCGGTTTTTGTCACGATTAGGCCCGGCCGTAACCGGTTAAGGCCCGGCCCGGGACCGATTTTTGGCCATCTCTAGTCCAGCGTACCAAACGCACCCTAAGGTCACCAAGAATTTAATAAAAATATCTATTTATTTTCTATTTTCGCACACTTTGCACAATCCGAGGGTTTTTTCAGGAAAACAACCACTCTACTTATGTGGTAGAGATCAGGTTTGTCTATATCCCACCCGCAGGTGGGATATATTGGGATCTTCTAATTTGGTTTATCCAATATGTCTAAAAGTTGCTAACAAACAAGCCCCCAAGTCGAACAGGTGCTACATACTGCGAAATAAAGTTATTTGGAATATAGCAAGAACATCCGGATATAACTTTACAAGATCCCAAGAAATTTATATGATGGCCTCACTAAGCAATTAGCTTATTATGCGTATTTCACGACAAACAAATACATGGACATGTTTAAGCCAAGTTTTTTATAAACCTAACCCTCCCACTTTAGAAATACGTCCATCCCGCTATGAAAAACCCTTACCAAACAAAAACATTCCCAATCCATACAAAGCGATTAATTCATATAGATAAATTTATCCATACATAACTTAATGAAAAAACAATCAAACAGCCAGGTAACAATGTGATTGTATCTTTGGGATGTCAATGAGATTTCAGATTCACATAAAGTATGTCTCTTTCAATACAAGACACATTGCATGAGTTAAAAAAGATTCAAATCCTAGAAAATAAGTTAGAAAGGATATAAACATTTTACAATAACTACGAGTAAAAGAGTGTTCAGGGGTACATGTCAGAGAGAACCCGAAATCAATGCTGGTTTTGGTTTTACCATTATACCCTCACCCACCAAACTTGGTAATGCGTGCTCCTGCTTTCAAAACCATCCCTATCCCTTCCACACTCTATACTCCCCATCATTACCTTTCTATTGTCCTAACTCACTGCCATTTATAATAACCTACTCCTCCATATTTAAAAAAAAAACACTGAAACAACCGATCCAAATCAACCAAATTCGCTTTTTTGTCAATATCTTAATATCTTTAAGTAAATGTTTTACGCATTTGCATAAAGACTGATTTCTAGAAAGGAAAAAAAGCCTTTCGTGTATGCGTAAGGATTCCTTCCGAAAAATCCGAATTCTTACGCAAACATCTGAATATTTACGCAAAAAAAAACTTCTTTTTAATCTGAAAATCGAGTTTACACAAATGCGTAAGACATTTGTGTAATCTCTAACTAAAATAAGAATTAAATTAAAAAAAGCTAAAAAGTAAATTTGGTTGAAGAGATTAGCTATTTTGGTCGATTCCCTGAGACTTGCATTTTTCAAAACTCAAAATAGAAAAGATTGTATTTTTCCAATCTCAGGAACATCAAAACCTCTCTTCTTTGTATTTCTAATGCATGATTGAATTGAATTTAACCTAAAAGGGTACATATAATACCATTTTTTTACATTTTTTATGTACGATTTCGTCCAATTTGTACCTAAAACAAGTGCACATAACAACACCCTTTATTTTTTTAAAGATTCATTAGCACCTATATTGATATGATCATAGGGTAAGACATTGAAAAACTATAACATGTCTACAAATGGATTATCTTGATTTTATATATTTTATCAACAACAGGGATGAGCTCTGGTTTTGTTTGGTCTGGTTGATTAACTATAGGGATGTCTAAGGAACGCTTACTTGGGTAAATGCTTACCAAGTCACATTACTGGATGAATATGACAAGGACCAAGAATCTTATCCGGTAAGAGCGAAGGCACGAACCGAGAGTCTTACCCGGTAAGTGAAGGCGACACTTCTTATCACAGTTATCACTTACCGGGTAAATTGTCGCATACTATACTGTTTCGGTGGACTAAAACCTTACCCGCTAAGTGAGTGATAAGTCTTTTATTGCTCAATCCTAACTAGAGTTGTGAAGGACTAAAAGACCAGACTTTGGGTACCCTCATCCACCATGAAAAGCATATGAAACAACCTATTTGTAGCATAAGGTGAAACTATAACTAGCATAGCGATAGTCGACACAAAGTCACAACTGACAATAATTTTGAGGGAAATTGATAGAAATAAACAAGCAGCAAATAGAGTTTCACTTTTTAGCCATCTTTTTGACCTAAATTCACTTTGTAGCCAATTATTAAGTAGAACGTTCAAGCATAGGCGTAAGGATTGGTTTTTGGCAAACAAAAAAAGAGAATCCTTACGAAAAAGTGGAATCCTTACATAGGAAGTGAAATCCTTAAGTAGAAACCTCCTTTTTATTTTTTGCCGAAAACCAATACTTAAGCATATGTGCAAGCCTTCTGCATAAGGATTGGCTAAAAAGTGAATCTGAGTTAGAAAATGGTTAAAAAGTGAAACCACCTATCAGCTTTGGCTATTTATGTAAATTTCCCTAATTCTGAGCATCTACATCCAATTTGCATGATACCATTGAGTCCTGAGAAGATGTACCTTGGAAGTTTCAGCCTTGTCATTGAATCAAAGTGCACCCCTTCAATTCTTGCTATAGTCCTTGCTCATGGTTTTCCATGTGAGAGGACCCACAGCCTGCAAACATTGGCCAAAGATCAAGTTATTCCGATTCCCACAGATCAGCATGTTTCCATAACACCAGAAGAGTAATTCCGCATAAGTTTAACAAGACATTCAAACAGTGGAGAATCCAGAAATTTTGGTACTGGGGTCGGAATTAGAGTAACAATGTATAAAATACGATAGAAGTTAAATAAAAAAATAGAAATGGGTGATCACTACTTGTTCCAGATGTTGGTACTTTTCTTTTTGATGGATTTGCCCATGGGGAGGGGGGTGCGCCGGCAAAAGTCCCCAAACCTTTGCCGTAACCTGGCAAAGATTGTCAGCTAAAAGCTGTAAGCATTGGAACTTTTACCCGTGAAAATTGACACCCGCCAGGCGCCAGCATAGATACCGCTACCAATGGCAGAAACTTGCCGGCAAGAAGCGAACTCATCGGTAAAAAGTATTTCAAAGTCATAGTGGGACCAATCATCGTTGGCAGCTTTTTTTTTGGCACTTTGAGGAAACCCGCCGGCAAAAGTATGATTTCTTGTAGTAAAGCTTTCAATTTCTTTAACGGAATAATAATTAACAATCGACCACCAAACGATTAGGCATCAACTAACAAAGCCTAACAAGAATGACACTATGCTAATCTTTGTGGGGTCAAAGCCATATATATATATGTATGTATGTATATATATATATATATATATATATATATATATATAACAAAATGTATTATATAAAATCAAATACTTTTAGAACCAAAGTCTTTACCCTTGCTTCACCTAAAACTCAACTGTGATCTTCAAGATTTCTTTCCGGACAAACATACAAAACTCCAACAGAAATTGCACAAAATTAAATTGATTCTAAAAAAGCCGCAACAGTTGACAAAAACATTTTCAAGACGTTGAACAACGTTTTATAACATTCAAAGCCAATCATGACTCATAAGTGTTACACACTTCCCAAAACACACCACAATTCTAGGCTTCAAAAAAGCATCTTCCCTGGCACCAGAATGTGTTTAGGGATACAAACTATGCATCACATAAGTGGCTCCACAAGAACATATATCAAATCAACAAGAAACGAACAAAGTGCAAACCTGGCTTGCAAGGTAAGATGCAGGAACAAACGCAAGAAGTTGTCTGTGTATGTCTGTGGTGGGGGCTATGTTCTACTTCAACAAATTACACTAATGGGAAGATGATTTTGGTCAGGCGAATAAAAAAATGAACATACGATTTTCATCATTACGATTGCTTGATATTCCATCATTAATGCCTTTTAAACAGACTACAATGGAGTTTGCGATTTTGTATATGTCAAACCATTTGTGGAGGAGAATCGATGTAGAGGCGTAGAGCTTCCTATTAATATCAGTGGGGCGCACTATGGCACCAAACATAACGAGAAGTGTAATAATTTGATGTTTCAAAGTTACAATGAAATTTTATCATTTGACTAGTGAACACAGAACTTTTTCGACAACTAAACTTCGTCTCAGGAATTCCAAATGAATTGGGTACATGGTATCCTACGAAGGGCATAGCTAAGTTGAAATTGATCCCACCTTCCCTCACTATTGGTTCTGGATATTGGTACTTCGATGCTGACAAAGAACCCATGATAAGCCATTGATTTTCATAAGAAAGGGTGTGTTCAATTTAAACGTAGCCATGACCTTCCTAGAATACCACGTACCCATTCATCACGAAATCATCCCGACAAAGTTTAGTTGTTTCTCAATTCAAATGATAAAATTTCATTGCACCTTTGAAGCATCAAATGTATTACACTCTTGACGCGAGGACTATGTTTGGTGCCATAGTATAGTACCAAAGCGATTCTCCCCACTGACATTAATAGGAAGCTCTACACCGGTACTTTGATCTTCCTCTACAAATTCATAATGAAGAAAATCTTATGTTCGTTTTTTAATCGTTGAACCAAAATAAGCAAGAAGCATCTTCCCATTAGTCTAATTGGGAACTCGTTCAGGAAGTTCAAAAAAATTACATGTGCTAGGATTAAGAATGAAAGCGAAACTGTTCTTAACAAATCCATTTCTGGAAGTAAATAAAGCAAACCGTTGAGATGTTCAGCTTATGTGCATTATCTAGGCCGCTTGGGGTAGAAGGAGCGTTGCAGAGTGTCCTGAGATGAGTGATTGATCCACCGTCATAGAGCGGAAATACAGTGTCGTTCGCCGGTGGATGCATAGTAAGCAGAAATGAATAGGGCGGTTCGGAGGACGGTGGCGCGAGTGAGGTGGAGTTTGGTGAATGATTGATCAGAAATGAGATAGAGTCAATGGATTTATGGGATGATTCAATTTGCAACGACATCGTAGCTTCCAGCGCCGATGGATCATCCGTCGTCGATTGTTCTTCTCGTCTATTTTCTAGGGTTTCCAATTTTGGGGACGAACAAACAACAAAAAGTTTGACGATGCGACTTTCAGATGTGAAAATGTTGGAGGTAAAACCGACTTAAAATTATCTTAATCGGATAAATGTTGATATGTTTAATCATGGGTCGGGACCCGGTCTACCCGCCCCGGTCGGGAACGGTGATTTCCTGCTAAATCGGAAATGAGAACGGGGACAGGGATCCCCGCTTGTCTCAAACCGGGGATGAGGATGGGGACGAAGACGGGTATGGTACTCTCCGTCCCGTACCCGTTATATATACATATATATATTAATTAATAAATTATATATATTATTATATTATTTATTTCAACTAAAACAATAATTCATAATTTCTATTTCCTAACTAGGTTTATAATATAAAATTGTAACACTTTTAGATAGAACGATTTTTGGTTTCTTCCTATAAACTTTACTCTAATAAAGTATTTTATTAAGACATTTAAATATTTTAAACATCCAATAAAACAATTTTGTTGGAGTGCGGGTTTGATCCCAACTACTGAAATTGTTACTTTGTTGCAAAATATTTAAATGTTTTTACTGTGTTTTTACAATAGTTTAAGGGTGTAGATTTGTTTTAACATGTCGTTCAGTGTCTAGTAATTATTGAATATTTTTGGCTTTTGAATCTAGATTGTTTGACTTTGAATGAAGAAAAGTTGTGTTGAAATTCATCCGAGAGATTAAGAGACCTCTCATGCAAGTTTGGTCGATTGAGAAGCCGCAAATCAGCTTAAACACGCAATAAAGTGTCAAGCTTGATGTCAAGTGAGTTAAAATCACTTCAAAAGTTGCATTAGACACTCGAATCCTTGTTTTTGTGCTCAGGCTAGTTTCCGTGCTAGTTAAAGTCGCCTGGAAACTATCGTGGAGGCCTGACCTACAAAAAAGGCCGAAAATCGGGGCTTTCCTCATTTTTGCCATAACCTTTTCATTTCTTACCCGATTTGAGTGATTCTTTAGACTATGGTTTCGTCTTCGGAAGCTTTTACGATGGTAACAAAGATGATTAAATCTTGCCTGTGATTTTGGAGTTCATAGAGGTTGAAGGTAAGATATCATCTTGGTCTTCAAGTTTAGGGTTTGAACCTTTTTGCACCATCAACTCTCATTCTCTCTTAAGTTTTATTTTGTGTATGATTTCGGATAGAAGTAAGTGTGTTTCAGAGCTTTGCACCATAGATTTGGAGTTGTAGCTTCAGGAATTCATCTCTTCTTCAAATTTAGGGTTTGAACCTTTTTGCAGCATAACTCTTATTCAGGAATTCAATAAGAACACTATGAAGGAGATTGAGAGAAATAATCAATTCAGTCAATGCACTATATTACTCAAATATATACATAATGTTTACAATTAATCTCCTACTTATATATGGTCAAAGTAAAACCCTTCTAAAGGGGCCGTTTACCAAACACTTATCCGGTAAGCATCCAGCGGTAAAATTCAACGTTGTTATTTACTTACCGGGTAAGATTTTAGTCAATAAAAACGGCTTTTTATACAACAATTTATCCGGTAAGAGCTGACCGTGGTAAGAGTCATTGCCCTTTCTTATCGGGTAAGACTCTCAATCCTTGCCTCGCTCTTACCGGGTAAGATTCTTGGTCATTGTCATGTTCATCCGATAAGGTAATGTAACTCGGTAAGTGCTTACCCGAGTAAACATTTGGTAAACAACCCCTAAGTCAAAGTCGAACTACATATACAAAGTGAAACACGATGTCTAAACAATTATAGACATTTATATACTTTCAAGACGAATACAATTTACACTGAAATTCAGACCCAACACAAATTACTTTGTAAAAACCCTGTAGATGCCAAAATGTGTATTTTGGAGTCTTAAAGATATTTACTTTGTTGATTATTTGATTAGATTTGCGTCTTTGATATATTTGGGATATGAAATCCCTAGAAAATGTTTAGAATGATTTATTGAGTGTTTTGAGACATGAAATAATATTTATTTCATAAAAAAAATATTTATCTGGGTATTCGGACGACTCGAGACAAAATACTATTTTAACTTTTGAAAAATGTTATTTACAGTATGGTATTAATTTATGTTGTATGCATTTAATCTCATTCGCTTTTGGGTGAGTATTGTGCTTTGGCTTTATGAATACAGGGACGTTTTGATAAATGAGTTTTCATCATGAAAATAATGGGTATGGAAAGGATGTTGCTTTTGTACGAAACATGTTCCATGTTGAAAATCGTGATTTAAATTACATTTTTCAGTTTTACTGTTTTATATTTATGATGAAAACTGCTTGAAGATTCATAGGCTTTAAATCAAACATTCTTCATTTGTCGGCATGCGCATCAGGCCCTCGTTGGAGAATGGTACTAGTGACATTATGAAGAATTGAGTGCTAATTAGAGACACGAGAACGAATTAGCAAGTTGGAGACGTCTTCTGCTTTTGGAGATAGCGATTTTATTGTGTTTTAATAGCACCCGACCTTAACCCGGACTTTATTGTAAGGCCTGGTTCATCATTTGTTGATGTTAAATCAAGATTTATGATCTGAAGTAATCATGTATTGATTTTCATACTCATATCTCGCACGACCGTTTGAAGTCAAAAGAATAAGTTATAACAAAATCGACTTTAATATCCTAATAGATTATTTTTATATCACCAAACAATTATGTAACGGTTTTTTGATCTTATAAAACTAAGTCCAATAAAACAGTACTTTTATCATAAATATTTGACATCATATAAAACTGATTTTGTTGTTTTGACAATCAAATATACGAATGATGAGGGGCGGATCTGGTATGTCAAAGGCGGGGGGATGGGGCCCCACTAAAAAATTCTCATTTACGTAGGTTAAAAACAATTTTTTAGAACTTTCTACCATATTTCCCCTCACTAATTTCATGCATATCTACCAACCAAAAAAGGTATATCAAAATTAAACAAAAAAATCTCTTGAAATCAATCAAAAAACGGAAAAAAGCCTCTTGAAATCGATGAAAAAAACTAAAAAAATCATTCGAAATCAACCAGAAACTTTAGAAATCCTTCGAAACAGTGAAATTTAGCTAAAAACACATCTGATGACTTTATAGACCTTTAATTAGGGGTCGTTTACCTACACATTTACCCGGTAAATACTTATCGGTAAAATTAACACTATCGCTTATTTATCAGGTAAGATTTTATTCACTAAAACGCACCGTATGCAATAATCTATCCCGGTAAGCGCTAACCATGGTAAGAGTCCCCGTCCTCACTTACCAGGTAAGACTCTCGATTCTTGCCTTCGCTCTTACCGGGTAAGATTATTAGCCCTTATCATATTCATCAGGTAAAATAAAATGACTTGATAAGCGTTTGGTAAACGGCACCTTAGTCTACCTTAAAAATACCCTTATTAAATAAAAATCCCGAATCCACGACTGCGAATGATGGAGCAAATTAAGAAAACACAATGGCCTTTGCCCATTTTAACTAAATTAAATGATGGATGAGTTGGATTTGATGGAGTGTTGAAATCTTGATATATATATATATATATATATATATATATATATATATATATTAAAAGAAGAACTAAAATATTGTTCAATAAGAACACTTCTATCCTATTTAATTTTTTTCTCATTATTTTAATATATACAATCAACACATTAATTGTTAACCCTTTTATTTTCCTACTTTTTTTTAACTCTATTTTCATTATTTTATAAAGGAAAATTGAATCCACAAATATATAAAACTATATATTATTTTATTTACATCAGTACATGCATATTTTTAATTACATGACATTGAAAAAATAAATCATCAAAATCAATATATATATATATATATGTGTGTGTGTGTGTGTGTGCGTGTGTGTGTGTGTGAAAATCTATTAAAATTTCTCAATCAATCAATATCTCAATATAAATATTAAAAATATATTGAAGTAATAATCAAGACGTGGTTCAATGAGAAGTATTCCAACATATTCTTTTATAAATGAAATTAGAATCCACATACAAGTATTTTGATTTACATCAATGCATATATTCTTTAATTTACATGATGATTAAAAATGCATTATATGTTTAATATATATATATATATATATATATA